ATTTGGTGGGATCAGAAGGGTGTGATCCACTATGAGCTGCTAAAACCTGGTCAAACCATCACGGGAGACTTCTACAGGCGACAATTGATCAGTTTAAAGCGAGCTATAGCCGAAAAACGTCCAGAATATGCGACCAGACACGAGTCCATAATCTTTCACCATGACAACGCTCGGCCTCATGTTGCTGTTCCGGTTAAAAACTATTTGGAAAATAGCGGATGGGAAGTTCTGGCTCACCCGCCTTATAGCCCAGACCTTGCCCCTTCCGACTACCATTTGTTTCGATCGATGCAGAACGCTTTGACTGGAATACACTTCACTTCAGAACAAGGTATCAAAAATTGGCTCGATTCATTCTTGGCTTCAAAAGATGAACGCTTCTTCCGCGACGTAATCCATAAATTGCCAGAAAGACGGGAAAAAGTAGTGGCTAGCGATGGATAATACTTTCAATAATGTATTAATTCATTTTATCATTCAAATAAATGCGTTTTTCAAGTAAAAAAACGGGCCGAATTAAGTTGTACACCCAATACAATAGTATAAGTATATTTTTTTAGTATTAGTTGAAATTACTTAAAAAAGAAAATATTTTGTTACTTTCGTTCATATAATTTATATAACTGAAGAAAAATATTTTATCATTTTTATTTATATATTTTGTATATGTATATACTATTATATATACTATTAATATGTATATTAATATGTATATACTATTAATATGTTTAATTGAAGGAACGTTTTGTTTGTACTTGTATTATAAATATAACATAACTTGTTAACTATGAAATAAAAGAAAAATATACGTATTGTGAAAATATAATGTTGCTTTATTATAATACATAATTGTGATCATTATAACATATGAATATTATAACAAGGATTCATATATTAAAGGATTCTTCACTATAGCAGATTTATGTATTGAAGGGTTCCTCACTATAACAGTATTGAAGGGTTCCTCACTATAGCCGATTCTTATTAGCGGTTAAGCACAAAAAAATATAAGCATTTTTAAAAATTGAAGTTAGTAAGCGCTAGTCTGCTGAGAGACAAATAGCATATTAAGCAAGGAAACCGTCCGAAGTGCCTTTTATTGATTCTTATATTCTATATATACATATATTATAGCACAATAAAAAAAAGAAAATGTATTTTTTAACAGTTTTTTATAAAAGGTGTTTAACATTTATTACATATGTTTAACAATTACCATACCAATATTCGTTGATAGATGCGTTCGTTGAACGCACTCTTACTTTGTAGTGCTCTATAACATGTCTATTAAAACCAGTAAGAGATATTTCCACCGATTAGTTCATTAATAGCATTACTTCATTATTATGCAAGAGTACAAAATGTATATTGTTTACTAAATTTAAAACAATTTCCTTATTTAAATTTTTGTAAAAATTGACGTTTATGCAATGTGCAGGATGTCTGCAACCACACATCCACTAATTGAGGAAAAGCGATTTTTATAAAAAATTTCATAAATCTTGATAAGAATAAAATTATGGAAATTTTATATAGGCTCATATGTCGGCTATATTCTTG